CCCCAGTGCCCAGCACAGGGGCACGGTCCCTGCCCTGCTCCTGCTGGCCACACCACTCCTGATACAAGCCAGGATGCCGCTGGCCCCCTGGGCACCCTGCCAGCTCATATTCAGCCGCCTGTCGACCAACCCCCCAGATCCCTCTCTGCCAAGCAGCTTTCCAGCCCCTCTGCCCCACGCCTGTAGCGTTGCATGGGGTTGTTGTGACCCAAGTGCCACTTAATATTTCTGAACATTTATGCCCAGTAACCAGGACGGTCTGACCCTGCTCTGTTCATGTTCCGCTGCACACCCCATGCAACAATTAAGCTTTATTAAAAATTTTTATCTAGCTTTTCTCTGCACTGTATATATTACATGAGCAAAATTACTTTCTCCCTGCTGCAAGGAGAAGGGCGATTGCCTGGGCCTTCACGGAGCCAGCAGCAGGGTCAGGGTGCTCTCGGCTCGCTTTCTCTCTAGTGACTTATTTCCTGTGCTCCCTCTAGTGCTGTACAGCACATTCTGCATTTCCAATTCCCCGCTGCTTCGCATCAGCACTGTATGCGGTATTTATCCACGTGAAGTGTTTATCTCCAAGCTAACCCCCGGAGACACCATCCAGCCGCTCCCCGAGTGGCTGCAGCGCAGGAGATGGAGGAACTGCTGGGGATGGGCGCGGCGTGCGAGCAACGGGAACCATCTTCCCGCTCGCGCTGAGCCTGGACAGTGGGGCTCCCCGCCTGTTACTCATTAAAAAGTTTTGTTCTCTGCTCCCTACCCAGATCAAATTAAACCGCAGCCTGTCTGAGCAGCCTGTCTTCTTGTTCGGTGTTTAATGGTGTCCAGCAAAAGAGAGCGAGGCCATTTGGGCACAACACCGATACAGACTCGGTGTATAACAAACCAGAGGCACAGCAAGACTCATTTCTATGAATTCCGGCAATTTAAATGGATGAGACTGGATGTGCTGTGTCTGACAGCAAGGTCAAAGGAAGGTTATTACAGGAAAATAATTTGGCTTGCAAAGATAACTTTGGAGAAGTAAAAATTGCTTCCATAAAGAATATTATATCATGAAAAAAATGAGAACTGTCCAGTGATGAACGTAGCCAAAGCACAAACCGAAGACAGAGAAGGTTGAGAAGGCAGAGAGACAGGGAGCTGAGTCCTTCAGCACAGACTGCAATGCCACACACACAACAAAAGCAGCCATCGTCCTCGATAAGCCTGGAGAGTACAACAGGCTTAGATATCCTCCCCTGCTATGAATCCTATCATAAAAATAATGGCCAGACCTTCCCTTCACTCTAACTGCCATTTTCTTCCTCCCAACTTCCAAAACCAGGCCAGCAAGAGAGCTCACACAACCAGAAAACACTAGAGGGTTTTTTTTTTTTCTTTCCAGCTCAGCGGCTGTGCCCCACGCTGATGCCGTGCACCATCTCAGCTGCTCACCGTGAGATCTGAGGCCCAGAAGTTACCGCGGGCTCATGTGGAATCATCCATGGGAACAGGCAGATGCGAGGGTTGCTCTGCCTGCTGTCAGACATCTGCTAAACCATCACCCGGGAACGGTTCCCAATCACCCGGCTCCTTCCCTCCGAGGTTTCATTTGCAGCTCATGAACGCCACATCAGCCCCCGTTATGCACAGCCAATGGATTAGCAAATCACTCAAGCTGTAGCCCTGGAACATGTGGGCTGCCCTCAGGAAAATCAGCAGGGAAATCTCCTCTTCTATGGGCTCAGCAAGAGAGAAGGGCGCAAGCTGTGCCGCAGAGCCCCGGCAGCCGGGGCTGGGTGGGTGTCAGGAGGGAGGGGAGCACGGCCTGGTGCAAACCTGTGGGTTTGGAAGAGACAAAGAGCTCCAAAGGAGCTGGGGACAGTCGCAGGCAGGAGTCCAGTGCCCTGATGTGTCAGGCACAGCCATGCGGTGTGACCACTGCCAGTCATTGGGTCTCTTTGGATCTTGGTTTCCTTTCCACTAACTGGGGATTAGCGTACTTACCCGTTGTACAGAGATACCGTGTGTACAAACACACCCAGAAAACATAAGGTTCTCTAGTACAGCACGAAACATGCAGCGGTGCCTGGAAAGAATAAAAGGACTCTTTGGAAATACGCTGAGCAGCTCTTCACCACTTGGGATGTGCCCATGGTCTTTGGTTGCTCTCTAGCTCTTTTGTATTTCTAAATCACAGCCAAAGATTTGACCATTAGTATAAATCCCCTCGGGATAGGAGGCTTTTTTTTTTTTTTAAGGTAGGCTTACATCCAGAAGAATAAAGCCCATGTCAGTAGGGCAACTGGAGGGAGTAGGCAGGCATGTTGTTTTCAGCTAATCTAGGGCTATTGAAGTTCTAGTGAGCTTCAGGTCCCTCCAGGCATTACCATCAAGAACCATCAGCCCCGTTCACCATAAGAAAGCTGGGAGCTGCAATCCCTCCTGCAACCCAGCTGCTGTCACAAAGGTCTCATCTGCAGCCTCCCAGCCACTACGGCAGACCAGCAGAGCTCAGCTTTCCCTCCGCAGGAGGAGAACGTGTCCATCTGATAAAGCAATGCCTTCACCAGATCTGAACCAACATTGGCAGGCTCCAAGAAAGCCCTTTCTTGAGATACCCGAGGGATCCTTGCAGACTCTACCCGGTACCATTAAAGAAGGTATGATTTCTATTTTAGAAAGAACAAATGTTTTCCCAGGATCCCTCATGTGGATACAGTGGTTAAAAAAAAAAAGAAGAAAAAAAAAATGCCTACAATAGATTCTCTTGGCTTGCAGAACTGAAGTCCCAATAAAAGCACCATAAATTTCTTAGACCATATACACTCCATCAACACCTGAAGAGAAAGAAAATAGTGATTTCTTGAGGACACAGAGAGAGGGAGGGGTTGACAGAGAGGGCTGTGACTCTGGCAGGAGCAGCAGAAGGGTCAGGACAGGGCAATAGCATACGGTGTCCACCAATACAGAGAAGGGATTAAGGGGACAGCCCAGACATAGACAAAGTCACACGACTCTCACATTTCCATGTAGGAGGAGAAAATCTCAGGATCTCTCAAGGCACGTTTACCATGCCCAGTCGCGAGG